GAAAGCTGTGCACATGCAGAGATGGTGCGGTTGCGCATGCAGCACATGGGGTGGAGCTGCGTGTTACCGTGGATGGCATGTGAGTGCGCGTAGTGTGTTCCTGTTCAGCACTCAGTAAGTAAAAGGTTCACCACCACTGCTTTAGGATAATTGGTGATTGACCAGTGCTTCACATTACATCATTTGACAGAAAAATATATTGCTAGCTAAAATAGTTTCATGCTGCCTATATTGATTTGAAGTCAGCATTTGACCAAAGGCCTAGAGACAGACTCTGGGAAATAACCTGACTTTTCTTGGTAAAGAAAAAATCCAACTAAACTTCCAAAAGTACAGAATGTAGATGGCTTAGTGATGTGAATATAGCAGCAAGTTAAATCCATTAAATAGTTAAGATTTTTTTTACTCTCCTGCTAAAGATTGCGAATGATACAGTTTCCCCCAAAATAAGAGTTCCCCTGATAATAAGCCCAATGAGGCTTTTGAGCGCATGGCAATAAGGCCAAGCACTTATTTCAGGGTTCAAAAAATATAAGACAGGGTCTTAATTTCGGGGAAACACGGTACTTTCAGAATATATAATTGCCCTTTTGTAAAAAAAAAAAAAAAAAAAGAGGTCAATTACATGTCCTTGGCTCTAAAGTAATTCAAGCAAACCCTGTGTACCAATTGCTCTATGACTCTGCATTATTTATAAGGGACAATAGATGACTATGAATAACTCAGCCAAAATTTGTAAGAAATATACCTTCTCTACCACAGCATGCAAAGTGCAACACTCGAATCGCAGACAGAATTAAATACAATTGAGATGAGGAGGTGTATGGGTGATTGTTCTCAACTTCTGGCTCATATTATTGCTTTTCCTGGCCTTGGCTCCTTTTGACAATTCAGGATAATTTTTTATGTATTTGTCTGGATAAAAAAAAAATCTGTGTTTGTCTGAACATTATCCGTGAATTTTACAAATTAAAAATCAACAAAGAAAAGTTGACACACAAATTGGAGTAAAACATCTAACATATATCCAGTGGTGGGATTCAGCCAGTTCGCACCACTTCGGGAGAACCGGTTGTTAACTTTCTGAGCAGTTTGGCAAACTGGTTGTTGGAAGAAATCATTAGGGCAGAGAACCAGTTGTTAAATTATTTGAATCTCACCACTGCATATAACCCACTAAATCAAGGTCCTCCTACCCCTGTCCATGGACTGGTACCACTCGGTGGCCTGCCAGGAACTAAACTGTGCAAGCAGGGAAGCCCCATCCCCATCATGGGATGCAGGCAGCGGACGAAACCACATCCCTTCCCCGGTCCACGGAAAAAACATTCTTCTCTGAACCAGGTTGGGGCCACTGCACTAAATATGAATTCCACAGCAATTGGTTATCTCACTAACATTACTGTGGAGGAAACAAAAAGAAGGAATCTGGCAAGAAGGCTTTCTGGCACTTTAATCCTTAAAGAGATTGTATAATTATCATAAATATGTCTATCTAAAAGATATGCATGGTATTTGGCAAGAGACTGCAGCTAATGTAGGAATTCTATTTGAAAATGATACTTTGAACAGTTTGAAAAAAATCAACCGAATCCAGACTTTTTTCTTATTTTGTAGGATGGGTTAAAATTAGTGTCAGGACTAGGTGTACATAGAACTGCATAGAACTTTATACATACAATAAAAGAAAAAAGTCAGTTTACCTTGCATTGACTATAATAATTTGCATACTTTTTATAAATGGGAGTCCAATACCCAAACACGCATTTAACAAGATGATTATGCTAGGTTTAGTGATATTTAGTATATTGTCAACTTAAACTGCATTTCAGTGGATTGCCACTTGCCTGGATTTATCCTAGCATTTTAATCAATGTTTTGCATAAGGTCAACTATAAGAACATGTTTAAATAAATAGCCACAATTTACAAAATAGATCCATATACTGCATAATAGTCTATTTCAGTGTTTCCCAAACTTGACCCTTTGAAGATGTATGGACTTCAACTCCCAGAATTCCTCAACCAGGCATACTGGTTGGGGAATTCTGGGAATTGAAGTCCATGCATCTTAAAATAGCCAAGTTTGGGAAACACTGGTCTATTTCAATGTATAATAATTTTAATTCAAAATAAATAATTCATTTTTACCACCCAGTCATGCAGCTTGAATTGGGTGGCCATACAAATACATAAACAAAAAATACAAGAATATCACAATGCATTTACAAATGTAAATATAAAATTCAAATATAAAACTGTAATATTTTAACTTCAAGTGCATTGGCTGCATTGACGCTACTTCTTAAGTTGCTACTTACCCATACTCCAGTAGCAAATGATTAAAATGTTTTATTGTTTATTTATTTATTGTCCTGCTTTATTATTTTCTTGCTTGATTGCGGAATCCATCTTGAATGCTATCTCACCAGCTTTTGTTTTTACTTTGGCTGAGCACAGCACAAAGCTTGTTTTCCCCCTTCTCTTCCAATTATTTGCCTTATATTCATCCTATTTTGCTTTCTCCTTTCTTCCCAGTACAGCTAGCTATTCTAATGTCCCATTTTTATGCTGCCGTCTTCTGAGAGGGAGAAAGAGGTTTGTAAATGTTAATCTATGTAAGAGTTGTATCTTTATATGCAAGTGAACAATCAATTAATCTTGCGAAAGGATCTCATTTTATATATGATTTATTTGAAGTCGTATTGTTAATTCAATTGATTTAACAAGTCTGCCCAAGTATGGTTTCAGATTAATGTGTATTTGTAGACCTATAAATATGGACACCTATATGCAAATATGTCAAATGCAAAATTTTATTGGAGGAAAAATTCTTCAGGACTGATTTCTGCTACATCTACCCATTTTAAATTAGTAAGATTGGGAATCTGTGCATGTCACAGGATTAGTTTTGGTTATTTGTTTTCTCTTATCTTTATTTGACAGATAATCTTAACATGCAGGACTGACTATGTATCAAGTTGGTACAGACTCTTAGCAACCACCTTGATATTTTCCATGTATACATAACCTGGTCCAATCCATCCACCTTACTGCTGCCAATTCTCTTCCATTTCCTTTCATCTTCCCCAGTACTGTATTATAGCCTTGTCCAGAGTCTAGGATTTCATATAATACGTTTTAAGTAGGATTAACCGAGCCTGACCATTTATGCCTTGAATGAGAACTCTGGAACCTCTTGATTTCAAGGGGCTGTTCTGTCAACTTCCAGATCATACCTTTGTAATTAAGGCATTTTCCACCATCTAATTAGGAAATTATATTCTGTGTACACTATTTGTCCACTTTGACAAGCCCCATGTCCTAATGTTTACAAATAGGAAGATTTTTCAGTTCATCTATAATTTGCTTTTTAAAGGAAAAGGAATTGAACTTGAGATCTTCTGCTCTACGATTGAAATTAGAATACTTCCAGATACCTAATTTTTTGTGAGCAAGCGGACTGTACTATTCATGGAATTCAATACACTCCCTTGTGTTTTCTATTTCTTTTATCTTCTTGCCATAAAAAAATACTGAGGGGGAAGTCCGACTACCTACACCATTCTTTTGATTGGTAGCATTAAATATCCTCCCTCTGAAGGAGTTCAGGGTGGTCTCCCATATACACAACTGAGCTGAGTGCTTCTATAAATCTTCATATTTAACAAAGTACATTCAAGTAGTTAAAAGTATGGGCAGATTTGGGAGGTTCTTTTGAAGTCCCAAATTATTATTTTCTCCCTCCTTCCTCCCTTTCTCTCTCACAGAAATATATGCATGCATACAAACCCAAGCAAATAGGTGGTTTCCAATCAGGCCTTTTTTTGGATCCCAGAAATGTGTTTATTTATCATATTTGTGTAGCTGCCGCTTTTGCACATGACTGTGGGTGGCTTACAATATTGTCTGAAATGTCCACATTCCAGGAATTCACATTATTCTTGCTGCAAAACTCTGCACATTCCAACAAGGTATGGTAGTTTCTTATGCTGTAAATTCAGTGTTCAACAGCTATATTTGCTTTGGTACTAGTTTGAATATCAGGTTCACTGTGCATGAAAAAAAGTTGATACGATGCCACTGTTTCTGGTTAATTGCTCCTATTATGCTCCTTCCTTCCTTGTTTTAATCTTTTTTTTTTAAAAAAGGACACACCTCTAATAGCTATCAATCAACGTTTTATTTCACCTCACCTAATTCTGTATCTCTGTTCTACTGCAGCTCTTTAATACTTCAGTGAGAAAGACAGTGACAGGGTTGGCCCAAAACCACATCTAGAGATAAAAGTGCGACCACCCCTCATCATTTCTTTTCCTATCTGATTCGGAGAGCTGCTTCTTGGGGGAACGGTGCGCTTAAGACCACAGGCCCTTTTTAGGAATTCCAAAAGTCGAAGAAGTACGTACTACAAGCCCTCCTCTCCCTACATATTTACGCGGGAAAAATAAGGGCCGGAATCTTCCCACGTTACCCCTGTTACATCGGTGTGTTGTTTTTTTTTGTGGTTTCGCCCCCCCCCCCCCCCCCCGGTCGATCATGCACACAAAGCTCGACTGGGGTGGTGGTATGATCCCTCTCCTCCACTCCGCCTCCTCTTTTTTTTCCCCGCTCTCCCAATTTCCGAAATAAGTAATCCGTTTTGCGGGCGAAAGTCACTCGCCCCCAAAGAGGAGCAAGGTTGCTCTCTCCGCTCAGATAGACGCCGGGCCAAGCCAACTGCAATTTTTCCTCTTTCCAGAGGGCTAAAGGCGGCGGCGGCGGCGACAGCTGCAACGCCCCCGCTCCCCATTCTGTTGCGCACGCACGAGTCCGGGTTGCTCTCACCCACATTCCTCGCCACCGGGGGGAGGGAAAGAGGAGAGGAAGCGCGGTTTGCTGGGACCGAAGTCTGGACTTCCAGCAGCGGGAATCCCGCACCCAACCACCCGCCCCCTCCCTCCCTTCCCAAAGACCCTTCCTTCCGTAGCTGTGCCGGTGCCGGTGCCGGCGCCGGTGCCCCCGCGGCCCTCCGGAAGATGCACCCTGGGAGAGCGCTCGCCTTCGCTGGCGCGCACGGCTGGGGGCCGGAGCCCGGAGTCTCCTCCTCTTTCGGCCTCGGACTCCGCCCCGAAAGCTGGCGACGGCGAGTTGGGTTCGCGAAACGACGAGGTTGAACCGGGCAGGAGGAGGTGGCTGTGGTGGCGGGCGGACGGGTTCCTTCGCTTTCCTCTCTGCAGCCGGGGCGATTGGTTTCCATCGGCTCCGAAGCGGGGAGGCTGCTCTGAGGAAAGGGTAGCAAAAGGCGGGCTTGCGCTGCAGCCGGGGAGACCCTCCAGCTTGCAGGCAATGGTCCACCCTCGCTGCCTTGCTCGTCCCCTCTTTCCCCTCCCTGGCTTGGAAGCTTTTGTTCTCTCCAGTTCGGGGCACAAGAGAACTACCTGCCGCCGCCGCCGCTGCCGCTCCTGCCTCCCGACGTCAGGAAAGTTCGAGGAGAAAACCGCCTCGGGTCCGACCTCCTTTGGGTTGCGGCGCCTTCAGTTTGGTGAGGTTTAAACCTCGGGCGGGGCCGGGGCTGAAGGGAAAAAAAAAGGAAAAGGCACGGTGGGTCTAGGCAGGAGCGGCGGGGCGAACAGGCAACCAAGAGGAGCTTTGGGAATGGGGGGGTGGGGTGGGGTCGGAGGGGAGAGAAAGGGGGTCTCCAGCAAAAGCTGGCTCTGGGGGCAGTCGATTGGAGTGGGGATTGTGGGGATTCACTTCGCATGCGAGCACTTCGGTCTACTTTTTTCCGGAGTTGAGGTTCAGATCTGCTGGCTTTTGGGGAGGAGTGGGGGGGGGGGAACAGTGTAGATTAGTTACTCCTGAAGAAAGAGGTATAAGACACCCACGCGCGGGCGCGCACACACACACCTAAGGAAAGTTGACATTTTTAAGCCCCCTGGGGATTTCGAAAAAGGTAACGAACGAAGAAGGACTGGATCAGACACGGAATGCGATGTAGGCGATCGTGTGATTGCGATGCCTTCCTCTGAGTTGCTTTAAAAGCGGGCAGCGCTGTTGTGGTGATCCGGATTCCTAAATTCCCAACCTGATTTCTAAATCGGGCGAGGTTTGGGTGAGGCTCCAAGCTCCTGGCATCCTTCGGTCTGCCAAGGGGCTACGTACCTGTGGCTAAACCTCTGGGAAGTTTAAATGGTGTGATTTGATGTGTCCCAGATTTGCGGCTGGCTTCCACAACTATGGATGGCTATGGGCGAGAACCTATCCCGCCTGTAATTAATTAGGCTGTATTAAACTCCAGTGATGGTTTGGTTGTCATAAGTAATGAATAAAGAGTGTGCGCGCTCGCAGGCACCTGTGCTTTTTCTAAAAAGTCAGTGTTACAAATTAAAAGGTATTTCAATAGAACCTATCACTAATGTCTGGTAAAAACGTGTTTATTATTTCTGTGCCTATTCTGTGCTGGTGAACTGAGAATTGAGGAATGAAATTAAGGTGTTCTGGTTAAAAAAAAAAATGCTCTGACTACGTTTTGTTTTTTTTTTTAAAAAAAAGCTCAAAAGTTCAAGGAGTTGTCCTGGCTATAAGGAAATATCCCCTGTCTCTGGAAAAAGTGGCATGCTTGATCACACTTTAAAAGTTTTAAAAAATTATATCTTAATTTTTTTCAAGAATCCTATGTTCCAGAAGTCTTGGTAAAAGTATAGGGATGCAACCAGACCCAACATTGGGTCTGTTTCATTGTTTCATTAACCCTTTCGTCCTTGTTGGCATCTACCTTAATAATAAAATGCTATTTTCCTAATGGTGTTCATACAGAAAAAGAAATCCAGAATCCAGGATCCAGGTTCATATATAGCAGCATTTCCTAGCTTGATGTTCTCAAGATGTGTTTGATTATTATTTACACCCGTTTCTCAACCTCAGTCACTTGTAGATGTGCAGACTTAAATTCCCAGGGTTGTCCAACCGGCATTCCTGTGCACATCTTCAAGTGGTGGGGGTTGAGAAACACTGATTTACACCATCCCTTACGGTATCCTACCCTGTTTCCCTCAAAATAAGCCATCCCCTGATAATAAGCCCAATTGGGCTTTTGCGCGCATGACAATAAGGCCAAGCGCTTATTTCAGGGTTCAAAAAAATATAAGACAGGGTCTTATTTTCCGGGAAACACGGTAGGAATGCAGGGAATAATAGTTTGCTATAGCTGAAGAGTGTCAGATTGGCAAAAGTTTAGAATAGAAAGGGCTGCATCTTGTCTTGCCAGCAATAAAGAATAAGCAATAACCCAAATTCAAATTTTCACCATCTCTTGATTGTTTCTTATCACAGTTTTCTTGTCTTCTCTTTATTCTGAACTAGTTCAGCTGAATCATGCATGACTGGAAGTTTGTAGTGTTAGCTAGTGTCTATAGATACTTGTTTGGAAGTCAGATCACTGGAACATTTAGGAAGGAGAACACATCTTTAGGCTGCTATGTGAGAATACAAATATCTGTGTGTCCCACACCTGTTTCTGGGATAGAACATATTTTACTAGTTTTATCAGAATATATTTAAAGTTTAAAGAATGTGAGCTTGGATATGTTTATTTAGGGTGGCAGAGGATTGTCAAATTTGCTCCTCTAGAGAAGTGAGTGAGATACTGGACACAATCATTCAGTTTTCTTGTTAGTAATAGTTTTCTTCTTTGGTTTTTTTAAACTCTTCAGTCTTGTCTACAGCCTTGAGATTTCCTTTTCCTCAGAGAGATACTAGCTAATCCATCCTGCCTAGTTTTTCATCGATAGCAGATGGCAGAACCTAGTTCAACTCACCTGTGACAAATTAGACCCTAAATGTGAGCTTTTTAAAAGCATCCATACACATTGGATAAATTAGTAGATTTTGTTAATGGCGGAATCACACATGCAATTAAAAGTATCTAAGTAATGGCTTAAGTTGGTGGAGGAATAAGGCGCAGGAATGAATGACTTTTCAAAGGATAAGGAAATATAAGATAGTTCAGATAATTTATCTTCTTCAGAAGTTACCATCCTTTAAAAAAATTCATCATGAAACAAATAACAAGGGATATGGATCTTATTAGAAACATTTAGGTTTTGGAGAGAATAGCTCTTTTAAAAGGAGCTGGAATTCTTTCAAATGGAAATAAAAAGTGAAATATTTATATTCTCCTTTTAGAATACTATATATTTAGAAGAGTGTTTAGTTAGAAGAGTATTATTTTGATCAGTTTTCATCTATCTCATGCCCTTCAGAAAGAGCACCAGGTTGAGTAATATTTTACATCTTCATATTGTTGTTTATATTTTATTGCTGTGATATTCTTGTTGGGATGAGTTATATCTGTTCCACACAAGTTTGTTCTAACCTGATTCGTTGAATAAGCCAGAATACCTTGGTTAATACAACATTATAAAAAATCATGGTTTACAAACCACATTTGTTACATTTTGTTGGAGAAAACATATGGCTTATTACTTTAGATGAGCACAGGCTATAGAATTTAAATCTGCTTCACTTTTTTCTTCCTTGGAAGAAGGACAAAATCTGCAGAAATATTAAATGTATCTCAAATTTATTTATCTTTAAAAATACCCAGCATCAAATGGGTTTCTTGCTATATATTATAAGACCTTCCAAGAAATTATGTTTACGCTTTAGCACAAGTAATGAATGAGATCAAACAATGCCAGATGCATCCTTCTGTATACTCTGGGCAAGTTGGTTTTTTTCCTTCTTTGTAAATCAAATAAATAAAGGTTTCTTGCCATGAGGAAGGATTTATCAGGCACTGCTGAATTTTATTCATTACTTGACCTTTCTAATATGCAAAGGATAATATCAAATGTATTTTGAATGCTGTTAATAATATAATTAAGAAAAATACAAGGATTTTTCGGGGCACAGAGAAAGTCTTTTGTGACGGAAAGTAGACCTGGCCTTGGGAATCGGGAAGGAAGGAATGAATCATGATGGGGCTAGTTTGAGAAGAGATTATTTAAACCAGGCCGGTCAAACTGGTGGCCCAAGGGCTGGATGCGCCACACGCAGTCCACAGCCATCCCAGCTCTGCAAAGCCAAAGTCGCAATACATCACGATATGTCATGTGACGTGATCGAGTTTGACTTAGACCTAAGAGCATGACAGAGAAACCCCAAATAACTTCCCATGCTTTGATTGTTCGGGACAGGATGGAGGAGAGAGAAATTGTGACAGGTTTTCAAGATTCTGAAATTCTACCCTACAACAGTAAACAGTATTGGAATTCCTGCTGTGACTGTTTCTTGCCCTTGTCTATCTCAAAGACTGAAACTTTGAAATTTTGGATGGCCTTGTATAACTCACAATTTTGAGGAAGATGCAGTGGTGAAATGCTGCCGGTTCACACTGGTTTGAGCGAACCAGTAGTGATAAAAACTACCAGTTCAGACAAACTGGTAGTTAAAAAATGCTATCGGTTCCTCCGAACGGGTATTTCCGATGATCAGCTGTGTCGCGCAATTTAAAATCGCTAGAAAGCAGGAAATTCTGCTTTCTAGTGAATCTAAATTATGCGGCACAGCTGATTCCCCTCCCCCCCCACTGCTCTACTTACCTTCCCAAGCCTCTTTTTGGTGTGCACTGTGCATGTGCGCACAGTGTGCATTTGGCATCTGGAGCGCATGCACTCAGCATGTATTTGGTGTGCATTGTGCATGCATGTGTGCAGCGCGCATGCGCGGCCAGTGAACTGGTGCCAAACAGGTTCAGATTTCACCACTGGGAAGATGAACTAAAATTTGAATTTCTTACCTGAATAAAGAATAATAATCTAAAATAATGGACCATCGACTTTTTTTCTTTTGTACAAAAATGCATTTGAACAAAGGAGGTATCTCCTTCCTTATTTATCTTGGCATTATAGCCTTTCACAAGAAAGTTATGACAAGAAAATAAAGTGTCACAAATCAAACCAACAAATCAAAAATAGAAAATAATGATGTAACTAACCCTTATTCATCCAAAGGTTTCTTTAGAATCAGTAATGGAATGCATATAGCAATATAGTTTTGTATGAGAATATTGGACTAATAAGAGCAAGACTCAAATACTTCAATGGAATATAACTCAAGAATATAACAAGTTCAGTATTCCTGTTAAACCAATTAAGTACAGGTAGTCCTCGACTTATGACCACAATTAAGCCCAACATTTCTGTTGCTAAGTGAGAGATTTGTTAAGTGAGTTTTACATTTTACTACTATTCTTGCCACAGTTGTTAAGTGAATCACTTCAGTTGTCAAGTTAGTAACGCAGTTGTGAAGTGAATGTGGCTTCCCCACTGACTTTGCTTATCAGAAGGTCAGAAAAGGTGATCACATGACCCCGGGACACTGCAGCTGTCATAAATATGAATCAGTTGCCAAGCATCTGAATTTTGATCACATGACCATGGAGATTCCTCAACAGACATAAGTGTGAAAAATAGTCATTTTTTTTTGTGCCATCGTAACTTTGAATGGTCACTAAACAAACTGTTGTAGTTGAGGACTATC